TTTTTTTTTTTTTTTTTTTTTTTTTTCTCATTTGGAAAGTAATGAATTTTGAAGATTACGAATAGAGCTTTAAGTTCAAGCGAACTGGCTGGTGGTCTTTGATGATGATAAACGACAAACGGCACATCGTTATTTAGAATCGGTTTTTCATGTTGATGTATTGTGGATATAGAGAGGTAGATAAAAGTAGGAAATTTGGAGAATTAATAATAAATTGTTTACGGATTATATACGGACGGATGAATTCCTACGTTACCGATTTGATTTAAATTTATGCTCATGATTATTTTATTACGAAGCAAACACGCAAACCACGTGCAATATTACTCGTTAATATTCAGTTAGACATTTTAGTTTTGATAGAAAATTATAATTAAATGTTATCGACTGAGAGGTGAATTAATCATGTTTTCCATTTTCCATACACATCATAATTATATTAGTTACAGCGTTGGATTATTGAACATTAGGAATTTATTTTGCATTTCCAGGATTCTTAATTAATTCATGTTTTCCTCATTGATGAATATTTTTCATATTTTAAAATGTTTCCAAATGAAAAAAGATTGAAAAAAAGATCGAAATTTCTCGATCAAAAAAAAAAAAAAAAAAAATATCAAATCAACGAATATCTCGTCGATACAGGAATCGAAATGTGAAATATATAGATGTCAACTAAATATTCCTTTGAAATGAAACGATTTAGATGAGCAGACTGTATGTTTCATATTGTACGAGAAAGTTGCCCTAGGCAAGGATGCGCATTATTGGCTTGAATTACATTAAACAAACATTTGATATATTGTTCTATCTCTTTTTAGCAATGTTTTTCTTTTTTTTTTAATACATATACAGATATGTGCGATTTTAATATCAAACTTTTTCACTTTTATTTCTTTCGCAATCTACCAAACAATCGAAAGCATTTATAAAACAGGTTTATCGTAAAAATTGTATTGTATCTATTTATTTGTAATATCATAAGAACCTATCGAAATCTATCGTGTTTATTAGTCTTGATTAGTTTTATTTTTATCATCTAGCATAATTAATGTTTTAGTTTCGTAACAAATATTTATTTTCAAAAATATGTTTGTACAATAAAATTATAAAAATTCTTACAACAAGCTACTATATTATTTCTGCCTATCAAATTTTATATACATACATAAAAATGAATATTAAATTATAAAAAGATTTTTGTAATTTCATTTGTTCGAATCACTGTTATCAATATGCGTAAATATAAAATTTTTTGTATTTATTGACGAGAGTGGTGCTTCCTTCCGTCTGGCTAATGTGGCTAAACGCATCAATGCTTCTTCTCCTTTGGCAAGGAACGAACGTTTTTTCATGACATTCTAAAAAGAGTATGTATAAATGATAATCAGCATTATATTTTTAATTATCAATAAATAAACATGTTTTTCGAAATCTTACACGTATCGTACGCGATGTTTCATCCAATTTTGAAGTGTTTAACATTTCCGCAACAGTGTGAGATATTTTTGGTTCCGTTTTGGAATCATCGAGTGTTTCTGCCAATGTATTTTCTTTTTGCAATTCGTTAATTCGCCTTTTCTTTAAAATCTTCAAGCCAAATTTAAATATGTGACTATTGTTTAGCTCGTTTTCAATTTCAGTGTCTATATTTGTCTGCGAATTAATAATATATCAAATAAGAAGCTGATTAAAATATTTCTTAATTCGATCGTCTTACCAATTTTTCTGCTAAAAATGATTCTCTTTCAAGTCTTATCTTGCGCCACTTTTCTTCATCTTCGTCATCAGATACGTCTACCCAGCCATCTTTATCCTCTAATGGTTGGACATCAATATTGTCACTTTGTTTATCTGGAAGAAGAAGATCGATAATCACTGTCATTGCTGTAAATTAATGCAAAAAAAGTAACGGATTTTTGAATACCTATGTTTCTCCATCTGAATTTCCTCTCACGTGTACTTTCACTAAACAAATCTCCCTCCTCGAATAGCATTTCTTGAAGCATTCTCACTTCTCTTTTATCTTCGTCCAACATTTGTTTCATATGAAGTTTTCCCAATTGATTTTTAACTTTCGTCTCATCAATTTCTTCATTGTCTCCATCTTCTAATTCCAATTTATCCAGATCTTCTTCATCTTCGTCCGCAGATACATCACAATCACTTTCACTAAGCTCAGCTTCTTCCTCCAAAAATTTTGCCGCATATTGTTTTATCTCTTTCTTTGGAACAATCACTTCGTTCTCCTCTGAGTCATAATCTATAAATTTTTCGTCATCTTCTGCTTCGTCGTTGCTGCTTAACGCAGAACTCTTTTCATCTTCGTCATCGGATAAATTTAACTTCTTAACTCTTTTTTTTGGTCGGTTTTTAATTTCTTTTTCAACTGAGTCTTCTTCATCAGAAGACAAAACGCGTAACTTGTTCCAAAATGTTGTTTCGTCTTTTGACTGTTGCCTATCTTTCTTATCTATTTCAGTATTTGAAGAGTCTTTTTCATCAGGTAGCTGTATGCTTTGAAGTATTCCACTTGTGATATTAACTGACTCTTTATTATTGCTTGGTTGAGAACTAAATGTTCCTGAACACAATTCTAATAACTGCGATTCAGTTACATTAGATTCTTTCACAAAATTCAATTGCATTTTATCTTCTGGAAATTTACCTGAACAGATTTCCACAAGTTCCTCATCCAATACAGCACTTTGATCAGCAAATAACTTCTTTTGGGATACACCTCGTTTTATCTGAAGTGATTCCGGAGTTTTTGTAAATTCTCTCAAAATAGGGTCAACAAACGATGCCTCTTGTGTTGTTGATGTTTTTTCTTCTTCCAACTGTACATTTAATGCAGTCAATTGTGTTATAGGAGAAATGAAATCAAGATTATTGCTTTTAGACTGTGGTGTTTGGTTCATTTGCCATTCTACATGTACTTCAGAAATTAAAGCTTCTTCATGAGCGTTTAAGTCATTGTTTTTTATATTTTTATCAAATAGATCATTTAACTTAACCTGAGAAGAAAATGTTGACTGTTTCATACTATTGTTTTTTATATTTTTATCAAACAGATCATTTAACTTAACCTGAGAAGAAAATGTTGACTGTTCCATACTATTTTTATCATTTTCAATAACTGAAGATTTTGAATCATCGTCTAAAGGTTTTACAATCCTTTTAAATGTTTTACACTTTTTAAACGTATCATTGCTATCACAACTACTACTCTCATATTCATTTTCTGAAACGAGTTTTTCAGATTTTTCATCTTTTTCTTGTACTTCATGTTCATCTTCATTTTCATCTTCATCTTCATCTTCATCTTCGTCTCCGTCTTCGTCTTCGTCTTGGTCTTCGATATCATCGCTATCATTTATTTCATCTTCACTGACTTCGGCCTCATCTTCTATAAAAGCATTTTTTTTCCTTCTCCTTTTTTCTACTTTCAAATATGCATCGTCCTCTTCTATTTCATCTTCTTCGCTTATCTGAGGTTCTATATTTGGCGAATATGGTTCGTTAAAATTATCTTCTTCATTTATGGATTCGTTCCATTCTATTTCTTGTTCTTTCATTTCCTGTTCTCTCTGTTTCCACTCCTCGTTGCGTTTTATTGCCATTCTACGTTTCAACTCTTCTTTTAAGCGCATTAACTTTGCACCGGGTTTCTCCAATTTAGGATCTATATTTGCAATATATGGTAATCTGTATGGTAATGTTTCTTTAATGATTGATAGTCCACCATTTCGAGTTTCCTTTATTTGCGTTGTTGTAACTTTAGATACACTTTTAGTAGCTCGATCGGATTTAGAATGTTTTCGTACAAATCGATCTATCAAACCATCTATTCCTTTCTTAGTTGATGTAATATCCTCTGTTAAGTCAATAACTTGACCTGGAATACCTCGCAATTTAGGTTTTAAACTTTCTATATTCTGTACATTTTTCTTTGTAGTATCTAATGAATCCAAATAATCCAACGGTGGAAAATCAAATTCATCATCTTCATCAAATTCATTTGTAATTATTCCTGAAGGTTCTTTTATCGTTTTTGCATTATCGTTTAGACTTTCTAAATTATATTTATCATTATCAATGCATATGCTTTCTTCTTTATTCTTATTTTGACTTGTAGCTTCTTGTAACAAATCATCTGATTTTTCACCTATGACTATTTCTGTATTTTTTGATTCAACCCTATCCATTATGTTGCTAGATGCTTCACAGTGTGTTTGTATTGTTAATGAATTAATTGCACTACTTTCTGTTCCATTATTAATTATTGTCTCATTACATTCAATGTCTTTAACTTCAATTAAAGTTCCATTTTTTTTTTCTACTACGTTTATATTATTTTGTTCTTCATTAACTCCTGCAGTAAATAAATTATCATCGAATAACTTTCGTGAAACATTGTCTTTTTTAACATTTTTGATACATTGAATGTTCATATCTTCTGTATTACTTTCTATAATCTCTTCTTCTGAATCAGAAGATTTATAAAATATTTCTGCTTCTTTCTCTTTTTTTTTCAAAATTTCACTGTTTGATAAAAAAAACTTTCATTATATTCAATGATAATAATTCAATGCCAATATCATGAAATTTGAAAATTACTCACTCAACGATACTGGAAAACTCTTTCAATTTAGATGCCATTGTAGGTACTGGAAAAGATGAAATTACTTTTCTCCTTTTTAAAAATTCTTGTATTGTTCTTTGTTTTGGATTATGATATGGTAATGAAATTTCTGTCTCGCGTATTAATCGCTGAGTTTCACTTTGTATTTGTTTCATAGCTTCTTCTTTAGAAGCTCTTAACGAAACCTAAAGTATAACATTATTTTTACTAATTCTGATATATGCTTAGACATATTAAAATAAAATTTTATATACAATTTAATCAATGAAACTTATTAACAACTTACTTTCCTCAGTTTTTCCTTAGATTTAGAATTTTTCTTCTTATTTTTAGTCATTTTATTCTGTGTCTTAGAATTTGGTTCCTCATCTGATTCTTCTCTTTCTTCATCTGATTCTTTTTTTTCCTCATCTGATTCTGAATCTATTAAAGTCTGAAGCTTGCTCCTTATCTACAAAATATATGATCAAGCTATTTAATAATTACATGATCAAGTTACTTAATAATTACATTGTACATTTTTTATAATTATTACTCACACTGTTTGCAACCTCCATCTCATTTGAAATTGTGTTTTTAGCATCACTAGCATGAACAATACTGGAAGTATCATCTGAATCGCTGTCAACAAGTTTCATAATCCTGCTCTTATTTAAATTCTTTATAGATACATTATCGAGCTCAGAATTAGACATTTCATCTTTTTCATCAACAAATCTTTTTTTCTTGAACTTAGGGGTAAATAAACTTTCTTCTTCTGAATCACTGTCTATTATTCTGAATAATCTGTTGTGAATATTATTCTTTTTAAGTTCGTCTTCTTTTTGGTTAGATATATCTTTTTCTTTTATGGTTTTATTAATTAAGTCAGTATCATTATCAGAATTATTATCAATTTGATTTTTAGCTTTATCATCATTTTGCTCAGATTCACAATCTTTTTCTTTTACAGATTCATTTAATGTATCACAGGCATTGTTCTCAGAACAATTAGTTTCATTTTTATGTTCATTATTTTCCTGATCAAGCTCATTATCTATTTCTTTTGAAGTCTTATTAAGTACATTTTCCTCTTTAGTATTAGAGTAATTTTTCATTTCTGAACATTCGCTTTCCTGTCCTACAAAATTTCCTAATCCTTTAGCAAGTTCAGATTCTTTAAATCCATGCTGTACATCAGATTCATCGTTGCACACATTACTTGAATTGTTATTTTCATACATAATTTCTAATTTCTCAATATATTCTTAAATCTTTGCTTTGTTAATTTTTTACTAATGACAATTTTTTATTCAGTACATTAAATAGCTATCATAAAATTACTGAATTATGATGATTTTTAAAAATTGTTTCTTTAAAAATATAATTACTTGTTAATTAATTAAAAATTAGTTTTGTTTTTTGTAAATACAATATCTAAACACTATGCCGTAGCATATCACAGAACACAATTGCATATTAACTGGTTTTCGTTCTATCCATTTCAGTCAGCAAATTTGGCGCGAAAGCGTTAAGCGCATGACGTATTAGTTTCAGATGGCAGGGACATCGTTTTTTGTTCAGGAATTTTGCTCTTCGTATCAATATTTTTTTTGTTAATATTGCATATTGTAATCTATTTGTCTTTTTTTTTTGCTTAAATAAAATCAGTCATGTTTAGAGAATATTTTATGTAATTAAAATTTGAGAAAATCATGTATATCTTCGAATTCACCATTTATCGTCTAGGAAATTATTTCAATATCAAGTTGTTAGAGTGTTTGGGAAAAGTCTTGGGAAAGCATTTAAATACCTCTCAAGATATCGTAGGTTTATGGTTGACTATAGTTGGTCGATAGATCAAATTGTTGACGTATTTTTATGATAGTTGATAGCTTGTGATTACGTTACGACCACAGTTGTAGAAAACACTGTATCTGTAGGTTGTCTAAATTATTTACTTTATATTTTTTAACAGTAACGAAACTGTTGTCTATATCCTTTAAGATCTTTATTCATTTTCAGATGGTTACGATGGGCGAACCCCTCACTTTAGCGAATGGTAAATTTTTTCATGCATAGTTGTTTAAATAAATATACATGTATAAATTTGTATATTTATTTAAATAACATGTAATTATATAGCAGATAAAAACTGAACACGTCAGTTTTGTCAAATTTAAACATTCTTGATAAAATTCACGTTAGAATATAAAATTATAAAATTGACTTTAATCAAATTTTTCTCATTTGCAGATGTTAAAAGATCTATTGAATTACTAGACAAATTACAAAAAGGTAATTGATTAAGCATATCTTAGTAACAAAGAGTAAAAGATAAGAGCACTTTATGTCATGTATTCCAAGAATTGCTTTATTTATGTAAGTCCTTATATTATGTTATTTCTTCATAATGTTTAATGATTTAATTTACTTTCTCATGTAAATCATGTATGTGATTTTATATAAATAAATGTATAAATAAATTGTATAAATAAATGAATGCTCACTTTGTAGTTACAATTTTGATATGTACGTATATGTTAATTATACAAACTTTTTTAGGTGGCGAAGTACCTGCAACAAAATTAGCTGCCTTACAGAAAGTTTTGCAAAGTGATTTTCTCAGTGCTGTCCGTGAAGTATATGAACATGTATATGAAACTGTGGATATTCAAGTATGATATATTTAGTAAATAGTGGCTATATATGTGATTAGCAATTTTTCCTCTGAAAAATATAAATATGATATTGATGTTAATAATTGTAGGGATCTCAAGATGTTCGTGCGTCAGCTACAGCAAAAGCAACAGTTGCTGCTTTTGCAGCAAGTGAGGGCCATGCACATCCACGAGTGGTGGAATTACCAAAAACCGAGGAAGGCCTTGGTTTTAATGTAATGGGGGGTAAAGAGCAAAATTCGCCAATTTATATTTCACGAATTATTCCTGGTGGTGTGGCCGACCGTCATGGCGGCTTAAAACGCGGGGATCAACTTCTTTCGGTCAATGGAGTGGTTAGTATCGTTCTATAATTTGTTTTATATTTTTGTATAGTTCTGCAAATATTTAATTTCTAATATTAAATGTATATTTTTTCTTCAGTGCGTGGAAGGAGAAAATCACGAGAAAGCAGTTGAACTATTGAAACAGGCACAGAATTCTGTGAAACTAGTCGTGCGGTATACTCCGCGTGTTTTAGAGGAAATGGAATTACGATTTGACAAACAAAGGGCTGCTCGCAGGCGCCAACATATGCAATAAAAGTAAAAAAAAAGTCGTTACCATTTCATTAATTTCTTTCAATGAACAAATCACATGCATATTGATATCATTTAAATATTTACTTCATTATTCATACATTGTAAAATTAAATAATGACTTTGCAACATTTATGAGACTTAATTTTAATAATACTTTATAATTAATGTAACTATTGCAATTTTCTGTGTTCTAAAAAGATATTGTGTATGAATGTTATATAGTTTTAAGAAATAAACATGAAAAAATTTGTTCTTTCATTTATTTGTTACGAAGTATTTTTAATAACAGTTATATACTTTTTACATGTGAAATATTCATTTTTTGTAATTTTGAAAATTTGAAAGAAATCGAGCAACTACTACAAAATGAATAAAGCTATTAATTTTCTGTAATATTTTATATATTGTGTGGTATTATGAGATACATAATAGAAATATATTAAAAATAGTAAATATAGAAGTATAATTTTATATTTTCCATCAAATTGTAATATTATGTATGTCAGCTTACCTAATATTTTGTTTAAGTGATCATGAACATCGAGTGACAAAAAAAATTAGCAATAGATTACAGATAAGTGCATATCCTTGGAATTGATTATAACAGCAATATTTTTGCATATACTATATTTGTGCTAATGCACAGTACGATATGTGACTATACAGTATCTACCGTACTTATACAATCTGTGTCTGTCAATCTAAAAAGCGGTATAATGATTGTGCTATAAAAATAAATGGACTTTAATCCAAGTTAATCTAAATTTTGCTGTTTCATTACGAAGGAAAGCATTTATAAGTCCAGGTCAACACTCAGAATCGTCATTTTTTGATTTACTTTAAATAATTTCATGCTGGCATAATGAAGCAGCCAGAATTACGTTTCGTCGATCGCGTAGTTATAGTAACCGGAGCTGGAGCAGGTAATTATCTTTATTAATGCAATATCCGAAGGTTATCTTACAATTTAATTTTTTAAATTTGGTTATATTTTAATTGGTTTTCAGGTTTGGGGCGTGCCTACGCCTTACTTTTCGCTTCAAGAGGTGCAAGTGTCGTCGTAAATGATCTAGGAGGAAGCAGACACGGCGATGGAAGCAGTACTAAAATTGCGGACGCAGTTGTCAATGAAATTAGGAAAAATGGTAATTCGATACGTAAATTTGTTTCACTTTCTGAATACTACGAATTTTTGTGTATTGTAAACATTCTGTAGTATTTTGCGTCTTTAAATTCTCTGAAAATGTATATATGTCTAAAATCTAGTTACGAATATTTACTTTCTAATATAAATTTCTAACATAAATGTTTCGATACAATTTATAAATAGGTGGAAAGGCAGTGGCTAATTATGACTCTGTTCTTGATGGTGCAAAAATTGTCAAAACAGCTATCGATGCATTTGGACGCATAGATGTAATTGTCAATAATGCTGGAATTTTAAGAGATAAATCTTTTCCTAAAATGTCAGAGACTGATTGGGGTATGCGTGATATTATTGCTTCAGCTTCTACTTTTTCAAATTAAAAACACAAATATTTATATTTAATTTTAGACTTAGTGCAAAATGTTCATGTAAAAGGTGCATTTAAAGTCACTCAAGCTGCTTGGCCTTACTTTGTTAAACAAAAATATGGCAGGATAATCATGACAGCGAGCAACAGTGGTCTATATGGAAACTTTGGCCAAGCGAATTATAGTGCAGCAAAAATGGGTCTTATTGGCTTAGCTAATACATTAGCTATTGAAGGCCAGAGCAAGAACATATATACAAATATAATAATACCTACAGCTGGTTCTCGTTTAACAGAAGATGTTTTACCACCAGGTAAAAATAATATTTAATAACATTTACATCACATTACATTTGTGTATATCAATCTTATTCTTGTACTTTTCTTAGAATTTTTTGAGCAATTAAAACCTGAATTAATAGCTCCCGTAGTTGTTTGGTTGTGTCATGAAAAATGTATAGAAAATGGCTCTATAATTGAATCTGCAATAGGTTGGGCAGGAAAATGTAAGCATGAAAGAAATTATATAGCATGTAGAAAGAATAAATCATATTTTAGTAACTGTAAATGAATTAATACATTAATTAATTTTTAGGTCATGTAATTCGTTCATTAGGATCAGTATTAAGACCAGATTTTTCTGGCAATGTCACTCCCGAAGATGTCGAAGAAAAATGGTCAGCTATTACCGATATGTCTAGTGCTAAACATTTTAATTCTCTTGCAGTACGCATTCTTTTTTTATTTTATAAAAAGTTTATTTTGTTTTTTTTTATTATTTCTTACAATATTTTTACACTGCCACATTTTACAGGATGTAACAGGAGAATTTTTGGTTGCTATTGATGCAATGAAATCTGGAAATTCTGAATCACAGGTAATTAAAACAATTATTTTGTAATTTGAAATTAAATACTATTATAGGTTTTTTTTTCTTAGAATAGTAACATCTTCAAACGTTCTTACAATGATCGGGACATTATATTATATGCACTAGGAGGTATAAATATTATTATTTCAATTATATTCTATTTAATTGTTAACTGTAAATTATAATTATAAAATTAAAATTTTAGTTGGTGCTTCTGTTCAAATACCAACTGATTTCCGTTATTTATATGAAAATGATAGCAATTTTGCTGTATTGCCTACATTCCTTACTACATGTTCAGTATTCGTGGATCTGTCCATACTGGAAAAATCGCTACCAAGTGGCGAACTAAATCCAATGAAGGTAATTTACTTAATTAACATTCTTTATAATAATATTTTTACGAATTTATTATAATTTTAGATATTGCATGGAGAGCAATATCTCGAAATTCATAAAGAATTACCAACGGAAGCTACGATCGAGACACGTCTGCAAATTGTGGATGTACTAGATAAGGGAACGGGTGCTGTATTTGTAGTAGAAAGTATGTGAATTCGTCATTTTCACAAATAGTATTATTTTGTTTTGTACATAATAGAATTAACATAGTTTGATTTATTTATTTTACAGATGAATTATTTGATACCAGCAATGGAGATAAATTAAGCACAGCACAAATGGTAATATTCGCAGTAGGAGCTGGAGGTTTTCAAGGAAAACGATCATCTTCAAAAATCATACCAACTATCGAAGCTCCTAATCGACAGCCAGATGCATCAGTTACTCAGCAAACAAGTCATGATCAGGTAAAAAAATGATTACATTCTTTAATCTATAGCCAGATGCATTCAACGAATAAGTCACGATCAGATAAAAAGTAATTATATCAAAAACATTAATTGTTATAAAAAAATAAGTATACATTTTGCAGGCTGCATTATACAGATTAAGTGGTGATAAAAATCCTTTGCATATCGATACAAACGTAGCAATGATGGCTGGCTTCAAACAACCAATTTTACATGGATTATGTTCTCTTGGATTTTCTGTCCGTCATGTTCTTCAAACTTATGCAAATGGTGATCCAAGCTTTTTTAAGGCTGTAAAGGTTAATATTCATGTTATATAACATTATGAATATTTTTGAATAAGTGAATATCATGTAAATTAATATCCTTAATACATATTGCAGACACGTTTTGTGAAGCCAGTAATTCCAGGGCAATCACTGCAAACAAATATGTGGCAAGAAGGAAATAGAATACATTTTCAAACATCTACTGTAGAAGGGAATTTACCAGTTTTAACAGGCAAGTTGCATTTTTATATAATTGCAAAGTTTTGCAGTATAATTATTAGATACATATTGCAGAGAGTGTTCTGCATTTTAATGCTCAAACTTTGTCAATATGTTCTACAAGTAAACATAAAACTAAAATACCATGTAATAAAAAATTCATAAATGCTTCACTAAAATATTATAACAAAAATAATGCAGAGCGGTACATACTTATGTATATGTGTTTCGAAATGTTTCCCTCTTTATCAATGCAAAATTGATATCAAAGTGCTATTCAATTTATTGTTGAGCAAATTTCATGTTTACCTCATCGAATTTTTTATACAGTTATTTTTTTACACAGTTTTAATTCTTATGATAATTTCATCTCCTGTTATATTATATATCTATCCTCTTTTAATTCTTGATAATTTCATCTCCTGTTAAATATTGTTGTGTTTGTTTTCAGAATAGACTAGATTTAGAAATCTAACTCTAGTCTAAGAATATAAAGTCTGGTGATCTCATGAAAATGATTTCATCATGTATCTTGTTTTATTCTATAAGCCACAAGAAAGATGTATTGTTTCATATTTCATATCTTTATCTATCATATCAAATCTATAACTTTTTTAATGAAGCGTTTGTAAACTTTTTGTTATATTCTCACAGAACACAGTGGCAAAGTTTGAATATACATTACTGTATTAATTTTTTGATTCCAGGTGGTTATGTTGATTTAAAACGCACGATGCCTATGCAATTGACAGTAAATCGTTTATCTGGCAGTAATCCTCTGGAAAGTGATGCGGTGTTTGCGACAATTGATGAATATATAAAAGCAAATCCGGAACAGGTAAAGAAAATCAATGGAGTATTCCTTTATCACATTTTGGTGAAAGGGAAACATCAAGCAACATGGAGTAAGTACATTTATTTGTATTAATTAATATTTTCTAAACTTTATTTTTGACTGTTTTTTATTTTCTCAAAGCTTTAGATTTAAAGAAAGGTGAATTATATAAAGGAGAACTAAAATCAAGTAAACCTGATGCAACATTAACTATTGAGGATGAAGACATGATTCAAATGGTAAATATTCCTTTTTTTGATGTATTAAATGTTTTATAAACGATTCATAAGGCAGTTATTGATTTTAGATTTACTTTTTAAGTAATACATTTAATGTATAATTTTGTTTACAGGCTTTGGGTAAGTTAAATCCACAAACGGCGTTCATGCGAGGAAAGTTAAAAATCGCTGGAAATCTCGTACTTGTTCAAAAATTAACCACGCTCATGGAAGCAGGTAGATCAAAATTGTAATATTGATGCATGATAAGTATTGTGTTATATAATTACCATTGTTATTATTTTTATATTTTTTATTCACTTGGTGAGTTGTTTGTATGGTTAGGGATAAAATACAACATAAATATGAATACAGTATATACTGCAAATATAGAAATATATCTGTATATTCAATTGTAATAAATTCAAATTTTATATTGTTTCTAATCTTGATTATTTTCACTATTAATAACTTAGAGAGAAGTATTCTACATATTATATGAAAATTTACATAATTAGTTTTATTTCAAGATTTTAATAATTATAAATTTTATCATTACTATAATTTCAGAATTACATAAATACAAACATAAATCTTCCATTAGTATCCTATTTGTATTTTCGCCGAACCGTTTTAATATTGAGTTACTACTACTATAATTAAATCGTAAATTAAAACACATTCGATCTATTCATCGATCATTCAAAATTGTTTATTTTTTCTATTAGTCTTTGTTTTATCAAATTTATAAAATCTGCGTTAATGTTCTTTTCGACACCTTCTCTTCTGATTGGCTTTTTAGAAAATTTTTTAACATCTTTTTTCTTTTTACCATTTGTTCGGCATTTAGGTTTCTTGACATCGCCGACTACAGTATGATTTGCATCTGTTGCTATATCGTTTGGAGATTGCGGCAGCCTCTTTGGTGATTCATTACTTTCGAAAAACGTTTTCACAGTATCCTGAGAAATACATGCCTCGAAATCTTGCGACGAATCAGATTCATCCGTACCGAGTATCTTATCGGTTTTATCATTTCTTTCAGATTCAAAATTCCTCACAATGAACTCTGTGCTACGAGCCATTGCCACATTTTCATCAGATGTGTCTAGGCATATAGTGTCTTTGTTAGCGATCCTCCCTCCATGCAAGAACGCGGATATATTTTTCCGCCGCCACATTTTCGACGTTCGCGGGATGAACTGCTTGCATTTCCCTTCGAACGAGAACTCTTTCATGTCGACGTTCTTGATCTCTCCCTTCAGGAACTGTAAATATTTTCTCAAGGAAGTGAAAAATTGTAGTTTGTCTATCATTCTTGGAAAGTTTGCGCAACGTGCACTGCTCGATGGGGTGACCCAGATCGCGGTATCGCCAACTTTCTCTGGTTGCAGGCCAAAGTTGAAATTACCTGTTCTACTAGCAAATACCTCGTAAATGCATTTACCATTGAAGACGGCGATCTTCGGCTTGTAAAGCCTCAATTTTTCTTCAACAATCTTGGAACCTTCTTTGATCTCTGTGCGTTTCAAATCGGCCGAGGACCTCGTAGCTCGGGCTACTATGTTCGTCAAGCCGATTCCAAACTGCAGAAGTTTGTTATCCTCCTCGTAACTCAGGCATCGAGATGTTAATCCTGACTCATGTAAAAGTTTGTAAAAGTGGTTACCTGGACCGGCGTAATATCTGCCACGATGGGCTGCCATCAGACCCGGATTTATACCGACGAAGACCACATCCAGATTCATTTCTAAGTAGTCTGGCAGAGTGTATTTTTGCACCTCCTCCTCCGTAAGTCCATCAAATCGGTCGATCCTCTTTCGTTGCCTGTCAACCTTCTCTACTGCTGCTTTTTTCAATTTTCTTAACGAGAGCGAGGACATCTCTATGTACAAAATTATTACCATTAAGTAAAAAAATGTATCAATTTAGTTTGAAATGTATTTGGTTGAAATGTCGATGAAATATTGAGTTTATAAGACTTCATTGCTTTGGTAAGTTTTTCTTCATTGCTTTGAATTGACTTAGGTTAGGTATCCGCCTGGTAAAAAAATTTCAGATTTTAGATGTATTCCCTGTTATAATTTTATGATTTAACAAACGATAAGTATTTCTTGATATATAAATTAGACGATGTTATTAGATTTCTCGTTGACTTAAATTCTTACTAAATCCTGTCTGTTTATTTGTCGTTATTTAAAGTCGTTATTGAAAGTCAGTTGAAGGATTAGGATCGACTACTCTGTGATTAGCGGAGATGATTCAATCATAAGTTAATTAACTTTGAGTAAACATTTATTAATAAAATACAAAATTGCAAAACTGTCGAAATTTTATAATTCCTCTTCAAATGCATAGCTAATAGCTTGATTTAACTAAATATACTAATTTTTTTTTTATATATTCTCAGATTTTAATGGTATCAAAAAAAATTAATACAATTGAGGCCTCAATTCTACTAATACAATCACGAAAGATTGAAAATTAATCCTGTTAATTAGTATTTCTTTGCAAATTAAAATTTGATCGATTCACGAATCCTAAAATGCTAGCGCCGCGTAGCGGCGAAAGGGTAAAACTAATTTCTATTGTTGTCCTTGTCGCTTAGTTGCTCTCCTTATCTATCGATAGTGCCGCCATCTAAGCATTCGACCGAAAACTAAAAGGATAAAATTGTTAACTCCGATAGATGGCAGCACACGGTCTTGTTTAGTAGGTACGATGATCGATAAATTATAAATTCACCGTACTACAAATAATTATACACTTTGTTATTATTAATATTTTTTTAGTAACTATTGTTTAACAATATTTAATTGAACAATAAAATTAATTAATTATTTATACGCTTTTAATTAATAATAACTTTAGATTTTAGAATGTACAATGTACAATATTCAATGTTCAATATTCAATGTTCTATCTTAATTATCTATTTTATAACTCCTATTTATACCTTTGTTAATTTGTTAAGTCTCCTTGACAGGTATTTACAAACATCTCCATAGTAATTATGTTAAAATATTGATTTTTACATAGTTTCTTATTTTAGAGTTTAACAAAGTTGGCGCCGTAAAATTATCTAAAATGAACTCTTCGACAAGACGGTTGAGAAACAGATGTCGCTACAGTTTAGCTTGGTAACTCTAAATATATCCGATAGATGGCAGCAAGTGTTGCGACAAGGAGAGCAATAATGATTAGTTTCACCGTTTCGCCGCTACGCAGCGCTAGCATTTTAGAGTCCGTGAACCAAATTTTTTATTTTGTAAAAAGAATTCATTAAGATGATCAATTTTCGAACTTTCGCGATCGTATTCTATTAACTAGATCTTCCGATTTCCATTCCATTCGATCTAAGAGCATGCGTAGGTCGTGTACAAGGAAATTCTACTCTAAGCAGATTCTCTCGCCAATTCGAAATTTGTAAATTCACGGGAAATTTTAGTTTCAATGCAGAACATTGTCGTGCCGCGTGATTGTCATTTTCTGAATTTTCGCAGGATACGGCGGAATTCTCGCGGTAGAAACGCATGGGATTTGGTGGGAAATCGATTTCACGTAAAAATTAAACTGACAGTACAGGGATTTATAGGGATATTGAACAGAGAGCGAGGAGTTCTTAAACTGCGATTTCAATTGCAAATTATCATTGTTTGAAGTAGAGTCGACGCGTGTGTACGTTCGTAGGAAATGCATTTAGATTACAACTGATGTTCGTGATACAGTATTTACGATCATGTTCAATCAATGCATTGGTTTATCTAAACTCGGCAACCGCTGCATATCCTATATCTGCACGTATAATCGGATGTAAGGTATGTGCATAATGCGACATATCTGCAGTGGTACAGATAATATGTATGTAGGTACACACTGCTTCGCAGACATATATATTCTCAGGTACAATTTCTTATCGAATTCTGTATGCACGTAACTGGGCTAACTTTAGACAGACAAAGGTTAGGAAAGAAAGAAAGAAAAAAAGATGCTGGGAACTTTACGACGGAGGAAAGAAGAGGCAAGAAATTGGTTTCACATTTGAAACGCGGTGCATGTGCGTTTCTACCGAAGCTGTGTGTGTAGGTGTGTTGTTTCAAAGATTTGAAAGTCCAATTTTTCTAATAGAATCCAAGAGTTCTGGCAGAAAGTATCATAAGCGATTAAGCCAGACGTCAAATTTTTCGAAAGGCAGGAGAAAGTGATTATTTATTTAAACTTGCAAATACTCCAAGATGTTTGTTCCTAGATTTTTCTTTAAGCCTTTTTGATATACTGTTTTTTTATTTTCCAAGCAGAATGTATGTGTCAGAGTATAGTGATGATTGAAAATTTATTTTGCCACTTAGGATGATTATTGTTTCACGCTCGTGAGTTTGTAAGAAACGTGTTGCATGTCTATTGCCTTTTTAAACTGTGTATATATTTATACACAAATTTAAATAGAAACGTTTCGATTTGGACACAATATTTTAAAATGTAGTAATTTTCTTTTATCGATATATGGGAAACGTGCAAAATTGATTCGTATTTACGAGCGAAGGATTTTGTAACGCGTAATTTATTAACGATCCTCCCACGTCAATAATTTCTTACGTTCGATTTTTACGAAATTCAATTCGCAAATATCCCGTCCGTTTTATTTGGGTTAATATTTTAAGGCGATTAAGTTCATAGGTAAAATCCAAAAATTCGTAATCCGTTTTACAATATCCGATATGTGTGCGTACACGTCGCGAATTACGCGCGCAAGGAAGATAGTTGCCATTTTTTTTTTTTTTTTTTTTTTTTTCACTAGGTGTCATCTATGATTAACGAATCAAAGTGACAAGCGTTCAAGATGATTTCGACTTGTGCATGATATTTTAATCGAAGCGAGCGAAAGCACTTGACTGCAATGGCAACAACAACAACAACACGGCTATATTATTGCCTCGCTCGATGTTCTCGCTTGTTCCAATTCTCGCCGCAGCGAATGGACACATTTTGCAAAAGGGAAACGAGCACGATATCGCGCTCGATCACGGCGCAGCACATAATTAGGCGGGATATTTGCACAGCGTATCTGCTAATCTAGCTGCCGGAACTCGCGATCGCGTCCAAATCGTGTTGGTCTTCCGGTCTAGCGAACATGGTCGACATTCAAACGCAACACGCCTTACACCGCAATGCACAGCCAAGCACGATCCACGCTCTTCTTTCGTCGATAAGTGCCGTGTAATTTTACCGTCGTTTCTTTCGCGTGAGCTTGTTCATTATTATTCATCCCTTTTGTTTCCCCGGCACTGATCTCGCGACGTAATTTCGCCATTAGACTCGGGGCAGTGGACGAACGTCGCGTTATGTAGAAAAAAAAAAAAATTCATTTCCAGGAGTACGATGTGTTTTTCTTTTCCCTTCCGAGGCAGATAAGGCCCTCTCCTCTCCCTTTTGAAAAGCCCTCTTTCGAGAAAGGAAGATGTTTCGCGAAACTGACTTTCGCCAGACTGCACGAAGTGGATGTGTATCTGGCTCTTTTAATGGAAAGGCACGTGACGTATCTCGTTGGTGGTATCGCGTGTATGCGATATTATGTCTGCGGGGGGGGGGGGGTTTCTACGCGAAAAGATTGAATCTCTACAGAGGTACGTACACTGTGCGTACACCTAGATTCTTTTACCCTGATTAAGAGAACCTTTCTTTGGCGCGAGCCAGCTGTATAGGTAGCTACTACGTGGAGCGTCGTAAAATTTTACAGCTGATTTTCCGTATTTCCCGCGGACGACGGGGATAAATCCGTCTTGCGCGTAAAAGTGTACTGGTACTTTTACACGTAATTCAGTGCAAACAATGTCGGACGAAAATGAAATTTCTGACGACGCATAATACGTACGTACGTACGGACGTACATATTATCGGTATAAAACTTTGAAGAAAGAACAGCCGCGAAGGGACTGTATCTTGGTTGTTATACATTTTCTCGGGCAAAGACGATAAGAAAAAAGACGAGTGGAAAGTCGATAGTCGAAGAGAAGATGGTTGAAAGTACGCGGATTCGTGCAGACCACGTGTACAATACCTGAGCTTGTACGAGCCTGGGTTGAAAGAAGTTGCGGAGAAAAGACAGGAAGCGCAAAGGAAAATTAGAAAACGAGAAGTTGGATAAGGAGAACGGAATGTTGGCAATAGGATAGACAGCCTGCCACGCCATTTAACAGTTTGGATTAACATTTGTAAAATCCCTTACGAATTATTAAATTTATTTATTCTCTTGTCTATGAGATCTAGAGTGTTAAATTTTGACTACGTCGACCTCGATAACCTGGCCAACATACCGTACAAATCTGTGCACATCTTGTACATCTGTTCTCTTCGTTCGGCAAAACGCGTTAGTCAGAACGAAAATCGATCTGCCAGTAATCGTTAACCGTGGTCTGAACAATGAAATATCAAGCAAACCATCGAAGCTAGGCTCTCGATATTTTCGTTTCTTCTTCGTCACAATGGGCCGGGTAATTAGCACAGTTGTAGAAGTGTGTAACGGATCGGGGTATCCGTTGTTTTGCGCGCGCGGCGAACTCGAAACTCGATTTGCGAGCTGTTTAATTTTCACCGGTTATTCATTAGCCAGTTACCAACTCGTTATTACGGACCAGTGAATTATTGCACGCGTATACAGGCTTGCGGGGCATACGCGTTCGTCGCGGTACCGCCGGTTTCCGGCTCTCTTCACGCGCCGCACCGCAAACGAGCAGATTCTGGCGCGCGCTCAACGCTATAAACGCCCGGCGAAGACGTAACGATTATGGGAAAAATCGACGGATTTGTGGTTGCCTCGGTGAACCCTCGGCGAAATCCTATTATCGCAACCAGCCGCTGAATGTATTACCCTTGTCCACACAAGTTTGCCTTCCTCCCCTTTTTTTCCCCTGCAAGATGAAAGAATACGTTTGACAACGTTGCCTTCTGTTATCAACATATAGTACATTAACATACATTTTATTAACTGTATACAAATATGTGTATAATATAAATGATAACATTATATTACATATAATATAATAACATACATTATTACGCACATTAATTGTATTTAAACGTACATATATGTTATAATGTAATATATGATATATGTATATTTGTATATTGTTAATCAAATGTATGTTAAATGTATATTAATAAAATGCATTAAAAACTAAATCATATTCTA